ACACACACACACACACACACACAAGCACCTCTATTGTTGTTACTACCGTTGTGGTTGCTGATGGTGATAATGGTATCGACGTTGTTTCAGCAGCAGCAGGTGTATTTTGCTAGCAAAAAAAACAATGGTTGGGCATCTGAAGCAAGATTGTAGTACTTTTTAAGTTAATAATAAATAATTGAGGGAACAGCCAAGGGAAGAGGAAAGTGCTGGCAAAAAAGGAGGAAGGAAGAGAGGTTGTTTATAAGATTAACTACTTGAATAGATGGCTTTTTTTTTTTTTTTTTTGCATGATATGTGTTTACTATTTGCAAAATTAGCAATTATAAAAATGCTATATTGCCTCGTTGATTCCATGTTGTGTTGTTTACAATCAATTTAATGTCTATCTATCGGGGTTTTTCTACATTTTTATGCGATATATTGCGAGAAGAAAAAAAGAGAGTATCAGTGTCAAACAAACATTAAAACTAGAAAAAAAAAACCTTTCTTATTAGAAACCATAGAATTGGCAATGCATTTTCTTCTTGCTTTTTTCTCTTTTCGGAGAAAGGGGAATGTACAGTGGAGAAAGGAACACGGGGTAAGGAGTAAAAACAAAAATACAGTTAGCTTATTCAATTTTTCTTCTTTTGATTGTAGCAAACAATAGCAGACTGAAATCGATGATGGATTTCAATGTTGATACGATAAAGTTTCAAGCAACAGCTTATTTTTATGATTAACTGTCAGTTAACGATAATACGTGTGTAAAACGATTGCAAAAAGATAGTTAAAGTTTTGGAAAAAAAAAATGAATAAAAATTTTTTTTGCATCAAAGTTTACACGTGTTTTTGGCAAAAATGCATGTGCATAACATGCTGTTAATTTTTTTTATGCCTAAAAAAAGAATCCACAAATGTCAAAGAAGCCAACTATGTTTCCGGAGCTTAAAAAGACAACAACTTTTCTATTTGCGTCTAAAGCTTCTTCTTTTTTCTAAATGAAGTCAAAAACGGTGCCTAGAAAAAAAAAAAGAGACAAAATATTTCATTTTTAACCAAAAATTTAATTGAAGTAAAGTATATAGTAAAGAATGCAGCGGTAACTGATTGCAGTTAATGTTAACAAAGGAAAATCTGAACAATTAAAGAACTAACAATTGAATTTAAAAAAAGAAATCAAACTTACTATCGAGCAACAACAACGATCAGTGAAACTGTTTTGAGCTGTTTACATTTTACATCAATTCTATGTGTCCAGTGACGTCGTTGAGAAAAAACGACTTTTTTATACAAAATTGAAAGCTTCAAGAAAAACTTGATAATGTGTAACAGTAAAAGAAAAAAAAGTGGTTTTTTTTCTAAGTTTTATCAACTGTCATCAATGGGAAGTGGAACAAAAAATGATAAAATTGAAGTCTTAAGTTGAACTCATAGTTTAACTCATAGTTTTTATAATAGAATTTTTGTTTTTGTTGCAAGATTAAAAACGAAAAACAAAAAAGAACGATTATGATAAAAATTTTTGCTTTTTTTTTTCTTTTTTTAGGAGATATGTTTATGATTGTTGGAGCAGTTGATAAGAGTGAAAGCGTTTCACAAATGATTGAAATTCGGAATCAAATTATTGAGTGTAAATCAGTTCGACGAATAAATCGTGTTGATCCAGTACCAATATTATTTGTTATCAATAAAACAGATTTACCGTCATCCAAATGGGAAATTGACTTTGATGAGGTAAGTTATGAACGATGATATATTTATCTTTTTTTTTTTATAGTTTTCTATCATCAGTTTGCTGTAACGTAATTGTTTGATGTAATAAACTATCTGAAAAAAATAATAGCTAAAAATATTATATTATCATTTGGGAAAATAAAAATATGTTATTCATTTTTCTGAGTTTATTAATTAGAAAGAAAAATATGTATGCATATAGAAAAAAAAGTTAATCAAAAGTTTTTTTTTTTGTCTTAAATTGATCTCATGTCTAATCTTTTACATCTTACCACACTTTTTCTTTTCGTTTTTTTGATTAATTTTATACTTTAACCTAATTAGTTGCTGCAAAAAATATAAATACAGCATAAAAAAAAAAAAAAAACAGAACGACGGTCAATGACAACAGCATATGACTGCAAAACATTTGCTGAAAAAAAAATCTTTAGTTTTGATAATTGGCGAGATTATTAGATCAATTTGAACATTTTTCTCCTCTGGAATTTCAGTACCTTTATTTGACGTGCATTTTTTTTCTTTTTTTCTTTTTTTTTTGAAACTAAACAAAAATAATAATACGAGTTTGATTAGTAAGAAAATATAAAGGGTATGCCAGAAGAATAAAAAGATGACAGCAATTAATTAATTTTAGTCCTCCTATTCAACCCATAAACGTCCGCCGTTTACTTTGCTTTTGCACAATTTTTAAGCGACAGAAATGACTCTAAAAAATTTTAGAAGTTTAAGTGCAACGCTAAAATTTGATTGGAAATAAAAGTTTTGGATAGAAAGAAATAATAAAAATGTTTCTTTCGATTATCACCGTTGTCATTATCGTTATCGCCAACGTTACAGATCATCTCTTTTGCTTTTGTTTTATTTAGAATGTCAAAACAACTATACAACAGATTTTACACTATTCTCTCAACATTGAAAAGCAACAGTTTTAGATAAAAATTTTTGCTGCACTGATTTGTAATTTTGTATGAAATTTTGGGAACAAAATTCTCGACTTATATCCACAATAGATATGTCTGTTCGCTTCTAAAAGCTCAAACCATTTAAGTCACAAATCTGTTAAAAGCTGAAAATTTATCAAGCAACTGTAGCACCTCTTATGCTTCTTTTTTTTCCCCTCCTTTCTTTTTTTCTCTCAGAAAAAAACACTATTGTTTGCTAATTAGCAAATTACTGTACCTCAGAAAGCTGTATGTTTGTTAAAATATAAACAAAAATTGAAACTTGTATATCAGCAAATAAGTCAAAATAAAAAATCAATTTTTTAAGCCAAAAAAAAAGAGAAAAAAGAAATTTTAAACTAAAATATGAGAACATGTCAAAGTACTTAACGACAACAGACTGATGGTAATGTGGTTAAATTGTCTGTGGAAACCTTCTGGAAACCACTTGTTACCATATGATCTTAACGCTAGCTGCAAAGTCAAAAATGTATAAATTTTAAAGTGTAAAAATATTATTATTTTTAGCTAAGCTATTAACGCTTTAGATTAGCCTTTTTTGTTTCAAGTTGTAGAAAGAGTAAAAAAACTAACTTCCGCTGCTGCTTTTGATGTTTTAGAAGTGCAAAATGGCATCTGATTATCGAATTACACTGCAGTAACCCAGTGTAAGGTGTTTGCTAAAAATTGGTTTCATATTGTCAACATTATTTTACATATTTCGCACTTTGTAACTGCAAATCTGATACAGCTGCAAACTGTTTTCTATCATTTTTGACAACACTTTCTATAATC